GAAAAAAAAAAAAAAAAAAAAAAAAAAACCCACACCATCTCCCCTCACCATGCAAAAGTCAACAATAAAAACCCAGAGAGTAAAGAGTATTCCTGAAGATGTTTGAGGTAGCCCTCTGGCCTGTTGCATGCATGAACATACATGCATACACAAATGAGCAAAGAATGAAAGAACAAACAACAAAAGGGGATTCTACAAACTTGTACTTAGACCCTCCTTGTATCTGCTTACCACTTGGAAAGTCTCCTATGTCATCATAGAGCTTACTGTAGCCTCTCAACTCCAGCAGGAACAATGAAATGGTAGGGATACTTATCCAGGGCAAAGACTTAACCGTGAACATGATCTCTCGAGAGACTTGATTCTGAAGATAAAAGTTCCAGTTATTTAAAAGTCACAAAATCTGTCCAATAAAATTGTCATAAAGTTGACTGGGGTTGGATTTTTAAATATTTTCTGTCTGTACTTGGACTCTGGCTCATGTCAGGCAAGAATTCTACCACTGAACTATATTCCTACCCCTCAAGTTTCTCTTTCTTTTCCGCAGATTTTATTTCACATTTTATTTTTAATAATAATATGTGTATGTGTATGTGCGTGCATGCATGCATTCATGTATGCGCCAAATTAGCTTCAAACTCAAAGTTTTTATTTTGTGTGTGTGTGTGTGTGTGTGTGTGTGTGTGTGTGTGTGTAGATATGTGCGTGTGAGTGCAATGTCTGCAGAGGCTAGAAGACCCCAGGGAGCTGGTGTTCCAGGAAGTTGTCAACATGGGTGCTAGGTACCGAACCTGAGTGCTCTTCAGAAGACATACGCACTCTTAACTGTTGAGTCCACTCTGGGGCCTACTTTTTTACTAAAAAGTCAATTTCTAAACTTTTCCTGTGGAAATTTTAATACACAGGAAAGTACAAGAAAAGTGTTCCTTTATACCAACCAAAGGCAGCAGCAAGTACCTTTACTTCTGACTTCTCTCTTCCTCACCAAATCTATATGCTGTTTATAATCTTTATGGAATAATCTTTAAATGAACTTCCTTCCTTAGCTCCTTTCAGTCCAGGGACTATCTGACAAATACCAGTGGTGGTCACAGAAAATTGTTCCAAGCTGCTGGACTTGAACCCCCAGCTCAGCCACAAAAACACACATGGTAAAAATACCTTTCATCTTACAAAAGCCAGAGAGTGAAATATTTACATAAGCACAATAACTACACACATACATTTATTCATCAATATCAGTAAAGTAATTCTCATCTACATACATGGGAAGTAAGATTTCCAGGCTAACAGAAAATGAGATCCATTTATTATTTAGAATGCAAGAAGGAAAGAGGTGATTAACCCTTATAAAAATATATAACCCTTTCGAGGAACTGTTTTCAAAAACTTTATTTACGTATAACCAGTTTAACTGAAAAATTCACAAATACATTATATCATTATTTTTAAGGTAACAGAAGCTAGAAAATCTCTTACCTTTAAAAACTGAGGATGCTTCATTAATGAATGATCATAGACAAAATAATAGCTCAGGGTTGCACAGAAGAAGTAGAGGATATAAGCACCCAGGTTCGTGACAATCAGGAGACTAATAGTTTGTCGGACGATGTTGTCCTCTGGCCACGTGGCTGGATACACATATGGAGTAAAGAAGTAGTGATCGGCAACATTGAGAACCAGGTCCATCGCAGCCCCTGCAGGACAAGCGTGTGGCAATTCACTCCTCACATCTCTATAATGTTTCAGAAAAGCTCTGTGTGCGGTTTCTGGACTAAGAGCAATCTTACATAACACAGACATGGCCACCAGCCTCCCCAGGTGCCATCTTTGGCAGCAGAAGAGAGTACTGATTAGGTCATCATCCCCAATCAATTAATTAAACATTAATCACATGGCAAGGTCAGGATTCCCAAGTGATGGAGCAACATAGCAAGATACTTTTGGTAAGATTTCTTACTTGTTTATCAACCTAAGTTTTAGCTATTACCACAAATAACTTTAGCAATTTTCCCATAAGGGTTTACAACTTAGCCATTCATGCTGTGATACTATCCTCAGGCAAACTCATTTAATAACCTTCCAGTCATTTCCAAATCATGCCACCAGAAGTAACATGATCAGGGTGCAGCATTTCTTCAAGGGTAGCCTCCCCTGAGTTATCCTGATGAGGTTAAATATCACTGTCTTTTGAGTTAGAATATCCTTCAGTTGGGCTAGGGAGATGGCATAGTCAGCCAAGTGCCTGCCTTGCAAACAAGAGGAACTGAGTTTGGAGCCCCAAAACCCAGGTGAAGAGCAGGGCATGGTGTCTTGTGTCTAAATAATCCCACGGAAGGCAAGATGGGAGGGAGATACGGGAGATGAGTTTGGAGCCCCAAAACCCAGGTGAAGAGCAGGGCATGGTGTCTTGTATCTAAATAATCCCACGGAAGGCAAGATGGGAGGGAGATAAATAAGGACCCTGGAACTTCCTGGTTGGCTAGCTCAGCCTACTTAGGAATCTCAGGCCACTGAAAGACCCTATCTCACACACAAGATGGAAGGTACCCAGGACAACAATTGAAGTTGTCTTCTGACCTACACATGCACACACACATGTGCGCACGCACACACACACACACACACACACACACACACACACACACACACACACGAATTCTCATACATACAAGCACACAGAGAAAAAAATATTCCAACTATCTGCTGGCTTATCACTGTCTGTTCACATGGTAAACATTCCTTTTTAAAGATTTCTTTTTATTTTATTTTATGTGGATATGTTTGCCTAAATATATGCCACATGAGTGCGTGCAGGTGCCTGCAGAAGCCAGAAGAGGATTCTGTCTCCCCTGAATCTGGGGTTATAGGTGTTGGCAAGCTGCCTGACTGGAACTGAACTTGGGTCCTATGCAAGTGTTCTTTCTTAACTGCTGAGGCCATCTCTTCAGCCCTAGCAAACATTTATTACTGCTGATCTACCAACACTATTTCACGGTAAGCAATGTTGAGACTAGTTCTTTGTGGACAAACTATTCTAGGACATTATGATGGTCAGGCCTATGTTAAGTATGGGACAATATATAAACACTTGATTTTGTAAGCACTACACTGCTTGGTGAGAAAGACTGTCTTGAAGATACAGTGGAGAAAAAGAAAATGCTGTAAAAATTCTTTTTAACATGAAGTTAAGGAGGAGAATGTATAAAAGAGTTGTCTAGGCAGAAGGAAAGTTCCCAAGTACCTCTCACCAGACTTTGAGATATCTTTCACTGTGCCACTTTCTTCATTTCTAAGCTTTTCATTCTTAATGCTGGTATCAACTATTGATATGAATGAACAGTTCTGCATTTACGCCATTTGGTTTCATGATCAATGCAACCACTAGTGACACCTATATACTCTTTTACTGTCAAGCCCATTTTATCAAACATGGTTAGTATTTCATTTTTCTCTCCTAGGCAGTATTTTGGTCACCGTCACTTCCAGTTAAAATTCAACTGTTTGGTTTGCCAGTCCAAAAGTCACAAGTCTCTTTCAGTAGGATGTGTCAGAAACATACCACATACCAGCAGCACCCTCAATACTGTCCAGTGCGGTACTGACAGCAGTTTCAACTTTGGTGCCACCCAGTAGGCTCTCTTCACCTACTTTTGACATTTTCACATGGCAGTAAATCAAAAGTTAACAAAGCAACAAAAAAGCAAAACACTGCCTGAAGCACATACCTGGTATGTTACCCAAGAAACAACAGGTGTATGTCAGTCACTTGGAGTCAGGAGCTGTCATCAGATGAGTCCAAATGTTGAACCTATGGCAAAAACAAAGCAACTGTTTGGTTCTTGGGGCTTTCAGGCTTTGCAGCAGTGACTGCTCCCATATTAAGTACACTTTTAAAAGCAGGATGCTTTCAAGGAGAAACTGTGTGTGTAACCTGGAGCAGATTGATTAACTGCTCTCTATAGGTATGGAACTGTTTTATGTATCCTCTGATGATGGAGGGCAGTGCCTCCAGAATCCCCAGGATCAATGTCTTCAACTCAATAGGAAAGAGAAGAAATCTTGGTGCATATTTAATTCCTATCTACCTTGAGTGATACTGAGCATAGCTTCATATATTTGTAATAAATTACACTTTTTCTGTGGGTGGTCTGGATCTTTTCCTTTGCTCACTTTCCCCTTCAATGTTTCAGTTTCATTAAAAATATCTGCTACCTCTCCTCCTTTCCCTCCAGCTCCATTACTCAAGCCACCCACCCTCCACAACTTTCCGAGTAGCCTAACCCAGAGGTTTGTAGCACCACACGTAGCTATGATCTTATATACTAAGAGGCTTAGCTCTTTGCTTATGGGACGAATCACAAATGCTTTCTCTCACTTTGTCATGGAAAATTAATTTACATAAGTGTTAGGTATTCTGATATTCATTGTATATGCCACTGATCCTTCAAAAACACCCAATTTAACTGCTATACAGTAATAAACACCCACATGTTCATATAATATTGTATGTAATTTTAAGGGTTAAATCCCTTAAAGTCAGAGGTTTTATGGACTATCAGTTAACCAGGCACTGCTTGACACTGAAGTTTACATGAAATCTTATATTGCCTTTGCAGAAAAGAAGCATTTTGCCCCTTCAAAAGATAATCATCGGAACTCGAAGAAACCATTCTGAGCAAGATAACCCAATCACAAAACGACAAACATGAAAAAAAAATATGGTGCCAGGTACCACAAGAGTAACAAAACTGTGCTGTTTTCTGGGATTTTGTTTTTTACTCTAACTTTAGATGTGCTGTCAACTTTGGAAAAAGTATCCTAGTTTACCGTGTTGAGTTGGCATTGTACAAAAATTAACAGCCATATTGGTCTAGAAATATTGAAGTTAATTTTTTTCCATTTGTACAGGGGTAACGCACTGTATTAAATATGTAAGGTCTTAAAAAAAAAAAAGAAGAAGGGATTCTGAGAGCCCATCCTATATGAAGGGATGCTCTCTTGGCCTGGAAACATGGGGAAGGGCCTAGGCCTGGCCCAGGATGATGTGGTAGACTTTGGACCTTACCCTGACAGGGGAGTGGAGGGGGGATGGCTAGGGGCAGGAGGGGTGTTGGGGGGAGGGAGAGGGAGAAGGGATTGACATGTGAAACAAGCTTGTTCCTAATTTGAACTAATAAAAGAATAAAATAAAAAAAGAATAAAGGAAAAAAATAATTATCAATTAGAGAGGCAGGGGCTGTAGTTCAGTGATATTTCTCCAGCGTAGTATGTCCAAAGCCTTGGTTCCTTCCCCAGCATCAGATAAATAAGTAAATAAATACACTATTATACTCAGATTACTTAAAATTATTATATTCTTCTTCACTAAAAGAAAAAGCACAGAGACGATAGCCAGCATTGACATATTTTTCAAAGCCTGAATATTATTAGCCCCTCCCCCTCCCCGCGGAGGTCTTGGCCTTGTATCCTGGAACTTCAATTCTCCTGCTTCAGCCTCCTGAGCTCTTGGATTCCCAGCACCACATCTCATCTGACTTTTACACATTTGGAGGGATAATGTAGAGGTTTTCTCATCTAATTCTCACAAGTCTATAAGGTATGCACTTGCATAATCTTAGTATACAGGACAGTGAAGACAGGAATAATTTAAATAGCCTTGCAAGGAGTAGTCGATGTGATGTAAAACCCAGAGCTTGCTCCTTCTACATTGTTACCTCTATAAAGTCACACATACGAATAAGAAATTCTGAGTTCTTCACACTTATTACATAATGAGTGCAAAAAAAAAAATCCCAGTAATAGACCAAGGGTCATAAGGCTGTTATTAACAATTAATTTAAAAAACAACTGATGGTGACATACTCAGCTAACCCACAAAGTTTTGACCCCAATCACTTTGCAAACCGGTAACTTCTCCAAAAAGGCCATGTTTTCACTTGGACCACCTTCGAATTTACTTGGCAATAAAGCAGTGTACAAGAACTTTTTTTTTTTTTTTTTTTAAATGCGAAAGTACACAGGACTTCAAAACTGCAGTGACTACTGGCCCACCATCCTCACTAGGTCTCAGGTTCTCAACCTCATCTCTTCTCCAGGTGAAGCACATCGCAAAGCACTAGCGTTTCCCATCTCTCCCTGGATGTGGGATCCACAACAGGCAACCTCCAGCACTGGCGGGGACCCAGCCCTTCCGGGTCGGTGTCCTTCCCTGGCCCGTAATAGCCCTGTCCACATCGCAGGCCCCTCGGCCCAAGGTGCCCACCCGGCCACCACCCCATGCCACCTGCGCCTCTAGCGGGGACCGCCACACCTGTGCGGAGGATGTTCTTCCACCTCCTGGCAGACAAGGATCCCTCGCGATCGCTCGCAGGTCCTCCCACTCGCGGATGTCCAGCTGCCAGCACAGGGAACCTACCTGCAGGGCCAAAGCAGTTCGGTACACCGCTTTCACTACACCAGCCGAGACTGGAGCTGGAGAGCCCGAGACACCGCCCGCTCAGCAGAACCCCGCCCACGTGCAGGCAGTCCGCCAATCAGCAGCTTGCGCCATAAGCTGATGTGACGGCGGATCGCGCGACCTGGAGCGGCGCGGCCTCCGTGGTCACGTGGTCACCGCTCGCGAGCTCCGCCCCCCGGCCGAGTCCGCCGGGACTAACCAGGCGCTGTGGGCCGCCCATCTGAATGCTGCTGGTTGGAGCATGCTCTCCTGACCACTCTCTTCCCGCCGGAATTCATGCAAACGACCCGGTAAAGGAAGATCAATGGCGTTCCCTTTGAAGTTAATGGCAGAGGCATTTGTCCCATGTTTGTGGCTCTAACATTCATCAATCTCCTTTTATGTAACATTGAAAGGTTAGCATCTGCATAAAATCTGAAAATTGAAGACTATATGTAGCTTAGTAAATTAAAAAGCAATTATTTACGAAGATAAAAAAAGAAAAAAGTTATGATCTGACCGAACCAGATTTACGTAGGTGTTTAAATACTGACAAGTTGTAAATAGGAAGAAAAAAATGAATTTAAATATCAAACTGGCTACTTATAACTCAAGAATCTAGGCAGCAATGCATTCTCTGAAATACAAGAGCTCCCCGAAGGTGACCAGTAGAGATTGGCTGTGTCAGCTGCAAGGAAATGAACCTTAGAAGAAAGGGCCAAACAAAGATGGGTGCTTTCAAAGTTGCATTTAGAGAGGGTTTACCTGTTCCTATTGGATGCTGTCCTTGTTTTGTTTTGTTTTAATGGAAAGGGTGGGGTACTTCAAAAATCAGTTTGATTAAGTAACATTGAGCATGACAGATTCCATTCTGGCTTGGTCTAATCTCCTAGATCTCTGAGACAACAGCCTAGTTCAAAACAATGACCCCTCTATAAATTTCATTTAATATGTGTGTTTTCCAGGGTTCTCTAGAGGAACAGAGCTGGTAAAATGAATACATACACAAATAATATATGAAACCAACTTATATTAAAATAATAAGTGGTTAAACACCTGAGGGGTTGATGGCCCAGTAATTGTTCCATCCTGAAAGCTGGTTACCTCACCAGCCAGACTACAGTGGCTGGCTCACATTGAAAAAAATAAACAGCCTGGTATATGGTCTGTCCACAAGGTTGGGTACTTCAGCAATCCCAGTCTAGCACCAAAAACCTGAAAGGTTTCTGGAGAGTCCCTGGTCCTCTGTTAACAATGGAACTGGTTTTTGCTATCAGGGAAGGAATCAGTAGCAGTAAAGTCAGTGGCAAGGGGAAGATGGAAGGCCAATCAAGTTAAAGGGAAATAGTCTTCCTTCTGCCCTGCCCCTCCCCCTTTTTAATTGAAGGGGGGGACTATTACCAAACAAACAAACAAACAAACATTTAAGGTAGCTTCTTTCATATCAATTAAGACAGATCAGTGAGGTTCCCTACTCAGTTAATTCTAATTTATGGCAAGTCGTCACTAAAGCCAGCCATCACACAAAGGTAAAGCAAATCTGTGCAGAATTAAGCAGGAATACGTGTGCAAACTAGAGGTGTCCCTTGGTTTGAGAGAATGGGTTTTGCATTGTTGCAGTGGATCTGGTACATTAATTCTCCACTGGGGCTTCAACTACAGTGGTTCCCCAAAGTCCTATCTCCCAACCTCAGCGTCAACATTATCTGGGCATTTACTGGAAATGTAGATGTGGATGTTATGTTTCAATGTTAAAAGTTACCTGATGACTTCCGTTCTGATTCCTTATATAAACAAGCTGTTCCCACACACCCAGGCCAGCCTTTAGTTTATTTATAGAATAAAATACTGTTCAACACTAGGATGCAAGTGGAAGCCAATTCAGTTTCTAAGCATATCTTGTCATTTTGTCTCCTGACATTCCTGTGGTGATTAACCTTGGTTTTCAATCTTTTGGATTAATAAACACATAAGAGGGGGCTGGTGAGATGGCTCCATGGTTAAGAGCACTGACTGCTCTTCCAGAGGACCTGAGTTCATTTCCCAGCACCCACATGGCAGTTCACAAATATATGTAACTCCAGTTTCTGGAGGCACCAGGCACACCCACAGTACATAGCTGTATATACAGGCAACACACACACACACACACACACACACACACACACACACACACACACCAATACTAATAAACAAAACACCTAAGAGATTAGTAAGGCAGACAGCATGGTGTAGCATTTCTATCCAATTATGAGGCTCTGACTTAATAATGGTATCATCCATTGATGGATTCAAAATCTAAGGACAATTTCAAGACAGTAGAACAGTGCAATGTAGGGACTGGTGGGAGGAAGGTGACTGGTGAGGGAAACCTTGCCCTGGTTCCCTTTCTGTATCTCTTTCTCTGCTTCCTGACCACTTCCTCCTCACCATGATGGACTAACACCTCTGAAACAGTGAGCCACAAAAAGGGATACCTCCCCTAAGCTAATTATGGAAATTATTGTGTCCCAGTGATTCAAAGTCTGACTAATATAATCCCCTTTAGTTGACTGGTTTTCATTAAAAAAAAAAAAAAAAAAAACTTTTCAGAAACAACTGGGAAATCCGACCTGGATGCCTCTGTGGGAAAACTAGCTGGAGTCACATTTGCTGCTTCTTTTACACGGCACTTGGCCTTCTGGTTTAGATGAAGCACCACAACTCTTAGCAACTTCTGAGTTGTGCCATTTCCCTGGTAACAGCAGTCGTGGGATTGTGGACCTTCTGACCTAGTATCTTGTTATTAGGAAGAGAAAATACTTTACCTATGAAATTAAAAATGAGTGAGAAGAATAAATGGTGAAATAAAGTGTCTCTGTGTGTACTGTGTGTATGTATATGATGTGCAAGGGTGTGCATGTAGCCCTTAGAAGACAACTTTCAGAAGTCAGTTCTCACCTTCCACACTCTTCTGAGGCAGGATTTCTCTTGATTCTGATCCCTCAATGTGTAAGAGCTTTTGAAGGAGGATAATCCCCAACACCCACATAAAAAGCTGGACATGTTGGTATGTAATTGTAATCCTATCCCCAGGGAAATGAAAACAGGAAGATCCCTGGGGTTTTCTGTCTAGCTGGCCCAACCTAATTAGTGAACCACTGGTTTGTGAAAAACCCTGTCTCACAAAACAAGACAGGTGTCTATTGAAGAATGACATTAACCTCTTCATGAACCTGGGAGTGCGTGCACGAACGCGCGCACACACACACACACACACACACACACACACACACACACACACTGAGGAAACTGTACAGGATCTTAAACATCAGAAAGGAGAGTCATTGGATAATATTTTTTTTAGCACAATCGGTCTAGAGAAGATGAGAAAATAAAGTTACAGTTTGAATATGGGTAGTGTCCCCAAAGGCCCATGGTTAAGGTCTTGATCCTTATAGTGGTGCTTCTAGGTGTTGCAATCTTTAGGAGGTAGTATAATCAGAGATCCTTGGGCCATTGAAAACAAAGAAACACATATATTTAAAGGGGTTTTGTTCGAGTGGCTTGTGGGCTGTGGTCTGGGTAGTTCAACAGTGGCTGTCCTTTGATGCAAAGAAGCTTTCAGTTGTTTAGTGCACAAGACTGGACATCTCAGAATCCCAACCTGGTGCTGGAGTCCCGCAGGATTCCTAAAGAGCTGCTGGTCTTCAGTACACAGAGGAATGCCTCAGCAACAGAATAGATGAACTTGTTATGGGGAGTGAGGGAAGGCAAGCAAAAAGGAAAAGCTCTTCCATGTCCTTGTATGTGGGCTGCCACCAGATGGGGTAGCCAAGATTTAGAGTAGTTTTCCCTCCTCAAATATTCCATTCAAAAAGTCCCTCATAGGTGTGTCCAGTGGCTTGGGTTTTAGTTGACTCTGATCCAGTCAAGTTGACAACCAAAATTAGCCACACACCCTGGAAGGAAGCAATGGAACCCTGGCCCATTCTCCCTCTCTCTGCTTTTTAGCTCCCGGTGTAAGCAGTTACTCCACACATGCTCCCCACCATCAACATCTGGCACCATCAGCAGAGGCCAAAAGCATCAGAACACCCATGTAGGGCTGGACACCTGCACAGCTTCAGAACCATGTACTGCACAAACCTTTTCTCTTTATCAGCTAGTTGACTAGCTGAGAAATACAGAAAGTTGGAACCAAAGAGGGGACCACTATCATTCAATTGAAAAGGTAGAGGAGCCTTTGGGATGGATTTATGGGAAGACTATGGAGGGTTCTGGATGGACAAGCTAGAGTAAACCTAAAATGCTATTAAGAGGGAAGGATATATGGCTCCATGGTTGATAGCACACACTGCTCTTCTAAAGGACCTGAGTTCATCCATCCTACACTTTTAAAGTATTTGAGTTCATCTCCCAAGTACCCAGGACAGGCAGCCCACAGTCACTTTTAACTTCAGCCTCAGGGGATCTGATGCTTTTGGCCTCAGCACTCTCTAGTGCATGCACGAACATGTGCAAACATGCAAACACACACACTCACTCACTCACACACACAGATTTACAATACCCATACAGTGAAATACACATGTATACACATATACATACACAGAGACACACACACATAGTTACACACATGCACATACCTGTACATACACACAAATATACACACATACGTTTGATTAAAAATAAAATAAGTCTTAACAAATAAATACTGCTAAGAGGAGCTTAATGTGGGACAGTTGTGACAGTGCTGAAGAAAAGAATGCTGATAGCAACATGGATAGTGAAAGGATTGTTTATGAAACCCGAGAAAAGGTTCTCTTATTGACACCATGGCAATGACTAACCACACCATGGCATTTTATGAATGGTTCATCTTAAAGACAGTGAAATGGTTTACCTGACATTGATTTTTTTCTCTATTTTTTTCATTTCTATTAGTTTTTTTTGATAATTTTGTACAATATATCTTGATCATATTCACCTCTCCCCAACTCCTGCTAAATTTTTCCCCTTCCCAACCTACCCAAATCTGTCTTCTTCACCTGCCCTCAAA